GGTAGTATATGGACAAGAAATATCAATTCGCTAATGTTTAAGCAACATATAAATAAAAAAAATTACAAAAGGGTGATTTATCTTACTAGTAAAATCACAAATGAGGTAGTTGATTATTTAATTACTAAGAGATTGTACAATGAAATTTGAACAATAAGGGAGCAAAAACATACACTACACTACGTAGCTTTTAGGTTGGACATGTTTAGTTATTCTCTGTAAGATTAGTATCCCTGAGAAATCGTGATAGATCATTCTCATTCGTGATTGTGTACAGTTGACCTACATTTGTTTTCCTAACAAGAATTTTCCCCATCTCGTGTGAAGCATTGGTGTATTGTCATTATTCTCCCGCTTAAGTTTTCTGACTCTATACAGGAGGTTCTGACGTTTTTTGGCAAGACACTCGTTTATGTATACCTCTTTCTTTACTTTAATAGATGCAATAATTAAGTCTTTTTTCCTGTCATGTGAGTGGAATCTAAGCATAACACTTTTTCTACCATGGGATCCTAGTAACCTGGCTTCTTTTATTTCTGACTCTGGTACAATAACACTTGTTTGGTCCTTTATGATCTGCAGAGTAATTTCTTTACTGTTTGTTTGGTTCATATCACTGGGAAAAAGTGGACTGTTAACTATTACTGCATCCGATAGTTTATCTTTCTCAGTTTTATCTTCTTGGAGAGCAACCTCTGCCACATTGCTCCTCTATCCACTCTATCATATGCCTTTTCTAAATCCATAAATGCAATAAAAACTTCCCTACCTTTATCTAAATACTGTTCACATATATGCTTCAATGTAAACACTTGATCTACACATCCCCTACCCACTCTGAAGCCTCCCTGCTCATCCGCAATCCTACATTCTGTCTTACCTCTAATTCTTTCAATTATAACCCTACCGTATACTTTTCCTGGTATACTCGGTAAACTTATTCCTCTATAATTTTTACAATCTCTTTTGTCCCCCTTTCTCCCTTTATATAAAGGGACTATAACATGCTCTCCGCCAATCCCTAGGTACCTTCCCCCTCTTCATATACATTATTAAACAAAAGTACCAACCACTCCAACACTATATCTCCCCTGCTTTTAACATTTCTGTCATGATCCCATCATGTCCAGCTGCTTTAACCCCCCTTTCATTCTACGTAATGCCTCACGTACCTCCACCACACTTACATCTGCCTTCTTCACTCCTAAAAGATGGTATACCTCCCTGGCCAGTGCATGAAAATTTACCACCTCCCTTTCTTCCTTAACATTTAAAAGTTCCTCAAAAATATTCTCGCCATCTACCTAATACCTCCCTCTCCCCATCTACTAACTCCCCTACTCTGTTTTTAACTGACAAATCCATACTTTCCTAGGCTTTCTTAACTTTTTAACTCACTTCCAAAATTTTTTCTTATTTTCATTAAAATCTTCTTGACAGTGCCTCTCCCACTCTATCATCTGCTCTCCTTTTGCACTCTCTCAACACTCTCTCACCTTTCTTTTACTCTCCATATACTCTGCTCTTCTTATAACACTTCTGCTTTGTAAAAACCTCTCGTAAGCTACCTTTTTCTCTTTTATCACACCCTTTACTTCATCATTCCACCAATCACTCCTCTTTCCTCGCCCCCACCCTCCTATAACCACAAACTTCTGCCCCACATTCTAATACTGCATTTTTAAAACTATTCCAACCCTCTTCAACCCCCCCCACACTCATCTCTGCACAAGCCCCCTATTCTGCCATAGTCGCTTATATCTCGCCCGAACTTCCTCCTCCCTTAGTTTATACACTTTCACCTCCCTCTTACTTGTTGTTGCCACCTTCCTCTTTTCCCATCTACCTCTTACTCTAACGTAGCTACAACTAAATAATGATCCGATATATCAGTTGCCCCTCTATAAACATGTACATCCTGGAGCCTACCCATCAACCTTTTATCCACCAATACATAATCTAACAAACTACATACTTTCATTACGTGCTACATCGTACCTTGTATATTTATTTATCCCCTTTTTCATAAAATATGTATTACTTATTACCAAATTTCTTTCTACACATAGCTCAATTAAAGGCTCCCCATTTACATTTACCCCTGGCACCCCCAAATTTTACCTACTACTCCCTCTATAACATTTTACCCACTTTAGCATGAAATCCCCAACCACCATTACTCTCACACTTGATTCAAAACTCCCCCACGCATTCACTCAACATTTCCTAGAATCTCTCTCTCTCCTCTACACTTCTCTCTTCTCCAGTGCATACATGCTTACTATAACCCACTTTTCACATCCAATCTTTATTTTACTCCACATAAATCCTTGAATTTATACATTTGTAGTCCCTCTTTTCCTGCCATAGCTTATCCTTCAACATTATTGCTAACTCCTTCTTTAGCTCTAACTCTATTTGAAACCCCTGACCTAATCCCATTTATTCCTCTCCATTGAAACTCTCCCACCCCCTTCAGCTTTGTTTCACTTAAAGCCAGGACATCCAGTTTCTTCTCATTCATAACATCCACAATCATCTCTTTCTTATCATTTGCACAACATCCACGCACATTCAGACTTCCCACTTTGACAATTTTCTTCTTCTTATGTGTATTACCTATAACTAAACCCCTTTCTCTACAAAGTTCAATCAAAGGGCTCCCATTATCATTTACACCTGGCACCCCAAACTTACCTACCACACCCTCTTTTTTTTTTTTTTTTTTTTTTTACACAGGGTTTGACAAAGTTTCTCCTACTTTAGCATTCAGGTCCCCTACCACAATTACTCTCTCTCACTTGGTTCAAAGGTTCCTATACATTCACTCAACATCTTCCAAATCTCTCTCTCTCCTCTACATTCCTCTCTTCTCCAGATGCATACATGCTTATTATGACCCACTTTTCGCATCCAACCTTTACTTTAATCCACATAATCCATGAATTTACACATCATATTCTCTTTTCTCCTTCCATAACTGATCCTTCAATATTATTGCTACCCCTTCCTTAGCTCTAACTCTCTCAGATACTCCAGATTTAATCCCATTTATTTCCCCCCACCGAAACTCCCCTACCCCCTTCAGCTTTGTTTTTGCTTAGGGCCAGGACATCCAACTTCTTTTCATTCAAACATCAGCAATCATCTGTTTCTTGTCATCTGCACTACATCCACGCACATTCAAGCATCTCAGTTTTATAAAGTTTTCCTTCTTCTCTTTTTAGTAAATGTTTACAGGAGAAGGGGTTACTAGCCCATTGCTCCCGGCATTTTAGTCACTTCATACAAATATTATATCTGTTTGCAATTTTTCATATATGTACTGTACCATGAATATTGTTAAAGTTTGCAGTTGTTGTAATGCATAGTAGACCATTTAGTAAGTAACTGATTATTCACATTTTTCTACTTTCGCACATAACGCCTGAATTAAAACATAATTACCGTGTTATACACTTTCATTCAGAATGTATTCATTTTTTCTTATGAATGTCAGTCTTAAGCAGATTAGAGCAATATTTAGAGAGAAATGTGTAGTGTAAATATTATGCAGAGAATTCGAAGTGTGGAAATTAGGAGAAGGTGTGGAGTTAATAAAAGTATTAGTCAGAGGGCTGAAGAGGGGTTGTTGAGGTGTTTGGTCATTCAGAGAGAATGGATCAAAGTAAGATAAGATTTTGTTCGATTTTTAAACCCCGGAGGGTTTGCCACCCAGGATAACCCAAGAAAGCCCAGTGCGTCATCGAGGACTGTCTAACTTATTTCAAGTAGAATGACATAGAGAGCATATAAATCTGTAGGAAAGGAAGGCGGGGTAGGGGGCATCCTCAAAAAGGTTGGAGGGAGTGGGTAAAGGTTTGTGGGTGAGGGGCTGGACTTCCAGCAAGTGTGCATGAATGTGTTAGATAGGAGTGAATGGGAACGAATGGTTTTTGGGACCTGATGAGCTGTTGGAGTGTAAGCAGGGTAATATTTTAGTGAAGGGATTCAGGGAAACCCGTTATTTTTTATATAGCCGGACCCGAGTTCTGGAAATGCACTCTGAAGGAGGGGTTTGGGATATTGGCATTTTTGGGGGGATGTGTAATAGGACAGTGTATATAAAATTGGGGCTCTGATATTGTAATTATTTCAGGTCACTTTTTATATTGTATCTTTATATATGCTTCTGAACTGTTGTATCTGAGCACCTCTGCAAAAACAGTGATTATGTGTGAGTGAGGTGAAAGTGTTGAATGATGATGAAAGTATTTTTGTTTTGGGGAAATTTTCTTTATGGGTCACCCTGCCTAAGTGGGAGAAGGCAGACTTGTTGAAAAAAAAAAAAAATGTTTAATTTTCTATTATCTGCATTTTCAGGATTCATGTCACTCCCATGAACCTAATTCACGAATTAAAGGGTTACACTTTACTCTTAGACGCCTCTTTCTGTCCAGTCTTCACTTGTTTTAGTTTAGTTCAAATAAAAACTTATTGGACAATTCCTTCAGTTTATGTATGTCATCCTGCAGCTTGGTTATGAATTTTGAGTTTCTTAGTCAGTCTTTTACCAAGGTGTCTACCTTTCCTATTATTCTTATGAGCTTGACATGTACTAACACTGACATATAGTTTAGTATACCTGTGGCAGTTTAGTCAGCCCCCACTCTGTTCTTCCCTGCCCTTCCAGGTAACCTTTGTTTGTGAACGTGGTTACCGTCTGCTGGCAATGAATGGAGCACGTGTTTGCAATCTGGTAGGTGGAGCAACGAGGCACCTCTCTGTGATCCCATCTACTGCCCTCAGCCTGAAGCACCCCCACATGGTCGAATTCTGCGAGGTCAGTATCCCTCTTGTAGCTTCATTTAGTTCCATCTGTGCCTTTGCACCTGGTAGGTTTTGAGGATTTTTCTATCCTCGCAGCCCTGTCTGAGGCCAGGGCTCCTGGTTAATTGCCAGAGGGTTGTTGCTTTTAGCAGCCACTGACTCCTGATATGTATATTGGTTCAAAGGAATCAGTGGTAAAGTAAATGAAGTTTTTATAAATACATGTATACTGAATATTAAATTTATTTACATATACTATTATGGAGAGGAGTTTTTTTAATGAATGTGCTGTTGGAGTGTGAGCAAGGTGACTTTTATGAAGGGATTCAGAGAAACTGTTAGCCAGACTGTTGTCCTGGAGGTGGGAATGGCAGTGGCCTACACACTAAAGTAGGGTAGGAGATGTTGCAGTCAGAGGATAATCTGACTGTGATGTCAGCACACTACTGGGAAGATGGTGATTGCATGATGGTGAAAATGTTTGTTTGGGTTACTCTTCCTTGGCAGGAGATAGCAGTTTTTACCTCAATGGCTGTCTTCTGCCAAGGCAGGGTGAACCAAAGAAGAAAGCGCTTCTTAATCATTAACACAATTGCCGTCTTTCCAGAAGTGTGCTGACATCGCAATCGGATTACCTTCTGACTGCAACATTCCCACCCCTTCTTCAGAATGCAGGCACTTAATATACTAAAGGGAGCATTGTATTCTTTATCATGGAACATTGGTTCTGAGAACTTTCTTTATTTTCTGAAAGAAATGAAGTTTTTTGTTATTCTGCTAGATAATGGTGAAAAATCTTCTGAGGAGTGGGAGGAAGAGGAAGTAGAGATGTTGCAACCACTTACATCGTTTTACAAGACAAAGGGCAAGAAGACCATAACGAAAAGTAAAAAGACAGCAGCAAAAGGCAAGAAACAGGGAAGAAAGTTTTCAGAAAGAATTGTTGAAAAATGTGAGCACCCTTGTGGTTGCATGTGTCTGTGTGTATATGTATGTACATTTTTGTATTCATGCTTATGTTACTCTTGTAATACAGAAACTGGCAATTCTTCTGATGGTGCTAAATATTTATTTTCTTGACTGCAATTTTCTGCCAGCAAAATTGAGGGTGTATCTATCATGCTATCATTATTATTATAAGGCATTGTGGAGTACATACTAGGTTTTTATCTCTCTTAAAAGTGTACCATGTGGACGATGAAGTGAAGTGGGACTGTGTTGAAGGCTATCAGGCTGAGGGACCAACTACTGGCATATGCACAACAGAAGGAGTGTGGTCAAATGGCCCACCCCGCTGCAGGAGAGTGTCTTGTGGCTCCCCTCATCTCCCAGACTATGCGATCATCCAGGTGATGATTCCTCTACGGAGCCACTGCTAACTACTCCTGCAGGAAGGCTATGAACTTAATGTGAGTGATTAAGTATTTGTCGTTACAGGAGCTGAGCTATGTTTGTGGTGTCCCATCGCATGTGTTTGATTGGTCGGATGGTTGTTCAGGTTTCCAGTGGATGTACTGTAGGACATATTTACTAATGAATCTTATTCATTCATTTTTTCTGAATGGATGCTTTTAATATTCTTTTTTAGACTTTTTTTTTTTTTTTTTACTATTTAGTTGTTATTCCTCATTTTTTCCTGTTGGTGCTGTAAACCATCTACAGTATGCATTTTTTCTCATATCTATTCATTATTATATACAATTGGCTGTTGATCAAAACGGTAGTCTTGTTTTTGAAAACTGCATTTTTTTTAACAAGTTGGCCATCTCCCACAGAGGCAGGGTGACCCAAAAAGAAAGAAAATCCCCAAAAAGAAAATACTTTCATCATCATTCAACACTTTCAGCTCACTCACACATAATCACTGTTTTTCCCGAGGTGCTCAGAATACAACAGTTTAGACATACATATGGATGAAGAAACACAACATATCCCTCTAAACTGCCAATATCCCAAACCCCTCCTTTAAAGTGCAGGCATTGTGCTTCCCATTTCCAGAACTTAAGTCTGGCTATATAAAATAACCGGTTTCCCTGAATCCCTTCACTAAATATTACCCTGCTCACACTCCAACAGATCGTCAGGTCCCAAATACCATTCGTCTCCACTCCTATCTAACATGCTCACACACGCTTGCTGGAAATCCAAGCCCCTCGCCCACACAACCTCCTTTACCCCCTCCCTCCAACCCTTTCGAGGATGACCCATACCCCGCCTTCCTTCCTCTACAGATTTATATGCTCTCCATGTCAGTCTACTTTGATCCATTCTCTCTAAATGAGCAAACCACCTCAACAACCCCTCTTCAGCCCTCTGACTAATACTTTTATTAACTCCACACCTTCTCCTAATTTCCACACTCCGAATTTTCTGCATAATATTTACACCACACATTGCCCTTAGACAGGACATCTCCACTGCCTCCTTGCTGCAGCATTTACAACCCAAGCTTCACACCCATATAAGAGTGTTGGTACCACTATACTTTCAAACATTCCCTTCTTTGCCTCCATAGATAACATTCTTTGTCTCCACATATACCTCAACGTACCACTCACCTTTTTTCCCTCATCAGTTCTATGATTAACCTCATCCTTCATAAATCCATCCGCTGATATGTCAACTCCCAAATATCTGAAAACGTTCACTTCTTCCATACTCCTCTTCCCCAATTTGATATCCAATTTTTTTTTATCTAAATCATTTGATACCCTCATCACCTTACTCTTTTCTATGTTCACTTTCAACTTTCTACCTTTACACACACTCCCAAATTCGTCCACTAACCTCTGCAATTTTTCTTTAGAATTGCCCATAAGCACAGTATCATCAGCAAAAAGTAACTGTGTCACTTCCCATTTTGTATTTGATTCCCCATAATTTAATCCCACCCCTCTCCTGAACACCCTAGCATTTACTTCTTTTACAACCCCATCTATAAATATATTAAACAACCATGACGTTACACATCCCTGTCTAAGACCTACTTTTACCGGGAAGTATTTCTCCCTCTCTTCTACAACACCCTAACCTGAGCCTCACTAATCCTCATAAAAACTCTTTACAGCATTTAGTAAACTTACCACCTATTCCATATACTTGCAACATCTGCCAAATTGCTCTCCTATCCACTCTATCATATGCCTTTTCTAAATCCATAAATGCAATAAAAACTTCCCTTCCTTTATCTAGATACTGTTCACATATATGCTTCAATGTAAACACTTGATCTACACATCCCCTACCCACTCTAAAACCTCCTTGCTCATCCACAATCCTACATTCTGTCTTACCTCTAATTCTTTCAATAATAACCCTACCATACACTTTTCCTGGTATACTCAGTAAACTAATTCCTCTATAATTTTTACAATTTCTTTTGTCCCCCTTTCCTTTATATAAAGGGACTATACACGCTCTCTGCCAATTCCTAGGTACCTTCCCCTCTTTCATACATTTATTAAACAAAAATACCAACCACTCCAACACTGTATCCCCCCTGCTTTTAACATTTCTGTCATGATCCCGTCAGTTCCAGCTGCTTTACCCCCTTTCATTCTATGTAATGCCTCACGCACCTCCCCCACACTTATATCCTGCTCTTCTTCACTCCTAAAAGATGGTATACCTCCCTGGTCAGTGTATGAAATTACCGCCTCCCTTTCTTCGTCAACATGTAAGAGTTCCTCAAAGTACGTATTCTTGCCATCTACCCAATACCTCCATCTCCCCATCTACTAACTCTCCTACTCTGTTTTTAACTGACAAATCCATTTGTTCCCTAGGCTTTCTTAACTTGTTTAACTCACTCCAAAATTTTTTCTTATTTTCATTAAAATTTCTTGACAGTGCCTCTCCCATTCTATCATCTGCTTTCCTTTTGCACTCTCTCAACCTTTCTTTTACTTTCCATATACTCTGCTTTGTAAAAACCTCTAAGATATGGCAAAAATAGGGTTACATTCCTTAGACTCCCCAAGAGTGGCAACAAATATTTTTACGTCTTGACATTTAAAAAAAAAAAAAGTGTAGTGTATGTATCTGTATGTTGCAGAGATGGCAATGCTGATGTGAACAGGGCTGTATCATACACTCAGCATGCTGTCTTTTTCACCGGCTGGCTTGAGCTTGTCTGTGGCCTCGAATGCACCTATGATATCTTGTTCCAGGCAGAGATTGTAGTTGGATGTAGTGATGTATCAAATTTAATACAATACTTATAGCTATGAAGTTACATGAATAATATTTCTTGCCTTAACTTCTGGTTGCTGGTGTATGTCAATGATTTTGAAAGGGAGGTGGCCTTTCTTGCCTGAGGTGGATAGCTAAGGTTCTTGAATTAATGCTGATGGTTGTACCGAGGAATTCTCTAGTGTGTCTTTTGTCTGTTTTGCCCTGCAGTATTTTGTGTAGCTGACAGTATGGCATCACCAGCTGCTCCAGACCCCATTTCAGAGCAGTACTTCTAGCTTTGTTAGGGTCCTTTCCAATGAAAATGTCTACAACTTTACCAGTATTATGGAGCTGTTCCTTTCTTGGTTTCCTGCTCAATCCACTCAGTAATTTTTTTTTATTTAGCTGTTGTGATGTAGGTGTCATTATTTTCAGGTTACAACCTGGATTACTTATGGCACAAGCTCTTATCTTCACATTTCTTTTTTAGTGAATGAACTGATGTTTCATTGAGACCATGGGTTTGCACCATCTCAATCATGCCTTCACAGGTCTTGATTTTTTTAAAAACACCAAGACTTTCATGGTTAAACTACTATGTGCCACTTTCAGCATTGCTTTCCATTCTTCTTGGGAAGGGAGGTTGTGCACATTAAGTGCAACAAGGCCTGACCCAGGCTAGGGAGAGAAAAGCACTCATAGCATTCCATACTTTTCCCTAAATTTGCATCATCTTAAATGAACATCACAGTGTCATGATCGAAAAAATGGAGCAATTTTTTGACCATCATATAACAAAAATGTACCAATAGATTGCATCTTAATAATTAATGGTCTGCTGTTTTGTAATTATTATATCATGTCTTCTTGTCTCCTAACATAAAGGCATTTTCAGTCTTTCTTCATTACTCATCTTGCTTGCCTTGAGAGCCATATTGTAGCTTATCTGATAAAATTACAATGTTTTATTTTAGGTGCAGACACCATCCTATGTGTGTAATGTATGGTTCTCTTATTCTTTGTAGTTGTAGCTCTACATTATTTAAAATTCATTTCTAATACATTACATAAAATATAAAAAAAGAAACTAATTATGTGTTACACATTTGACAGCTAATGCATGATTTCACTACACAACTTGTCTGTTCTCTATAGAACCCTCTATAAACTTTTAAATATGGTTGTTCATTTGCATTATTATTATAATCAAGGGGGAAGCGCTAAACCCGGAGGATTATACAGCGCCTGGGGGGGGGGATGTGGAAGGTATTCAGGCTTAATTCGGGGAACTGGAGCACAGATCCAATTCCCTAAATCAAGAGCCCCTCACCAACATCAAGGATGTTCATTTGCAACATTCAGTTGGCAAACAGGTTTCTTTTCACAATGTTGCTGCTTTGCTGTAAATTAATATTTTGCAAATGAAATTTACTACTGTGCTTTCTCTTCATTTTACATTCAAAATGATGCTTTTAGGGAACAAGTGTTCTCACCTGTGAAGCAAATGGCAGATGGAGTTCCGAAGCTCCCACTTGTACTCCTGTATCATGTGGGCCACCTACCCTAACAGCCCACACATTGGTGCGATACATCACCCCACAGCACAACCAGCCACACTCATTTGGCTCCACTGCTTCCTATACCTGCCATGATGGATACCAGCTGCAAGGTAAACCAGCTCCACTGAGTGGGCAGTTGTATGTCTTAGATCCATAGATCCATGTCTGGAGGATTTTTTATCTATCTCTCTCGAACAAATTTGGCACACTCGTCATATTTTAAATCTCAGTAATTCTGGTGCATTTAGTAATTATGGGTAATTATTATTTAAAAATAAATGCTAAATTCATGTGGGTCAAAGTTGGTACAGTAAGTTATAGTTTCTGTTGAAAAGTCACTGTCAGTTTATTGAAGATGGGACTCGGTTTAGACGTCGCCAGGAGTGCATCAGGGTGTTGCAGGTCTGCATGTTTGTTGATGGATATTATAATCATAACTAAGCACTTAACCCACAAGGGTCATTCACTGATAGATAGAACTGCCCATTAGGATTTGAATCAAAAGCTCAGCCTGGCAGCCTTCTCTGCAAGGTGCTGGGCATCTGTCATGCGTTGAGTAGTGTTCGATTCACAATTGTGCGAGCATAGTTTCCCACACTTGATGGTGATGTAAAGATGGCCAGGAGCCCAATTGCAACTTGATGTTAAAAAAAAATGGATGTGTTCTAATTCTGACCAACATTACAGTTATTTTCACCACTGCCTTCCCATGCTATATTATATATTTTTATGAGAACTGCTAAACCCATGGGGGTCATACAGCATCTAGGGAAATGGAAGGGTCAATTCCCTGCATTAAGTATTCAATAGTATTAGTTTGTCTAACATGCTTTCTATACAAATAATAATAATAATAATAATAATATCTATTTACTACAAGTACATGGTATACAGGCCTAGCTGACATCAATGACATACTACTATATAGAAAGTCCCTTGTTATGCAGAGCATTTCAGGCAAATTAGGTCCTTGCCCCAGGATGCAACCCACACCAGTCGACTAACTCCTAGGTACGTAGACAACCAGTGTAAAGAAACTTGGAATCGAATGCAGACCTTCGCCGTGTGAAGCGAGAGCTTTGGCGATCAGGCCACAGGGCACCGTAGCCTGATCGGGGCTTTTATTAGAATATGGATGATATATACTCATAGCAGTAACCAAACTGTAAACCCACCCAGTGTAACTGCCAGGTATTCCAAAGAAATAAATAACTTCATCTTCATAAAAAAAAATTGCATCAATGTTGAGTAATGCTTATTTGTATTTCCAGGAGGAGAAACACAGGTGTGTGAGGCTAATGGTGAGTGGAGAGGAGACAGCCACACCTGCATGGAGATGCAGTGTGAAAACATGCCGTCCCTTTTACATGGTCTGGTAGCTGTGAAGAAGACTGGGCACCTTCAAACAGCCACTTTCAAGTGTGAGCCAGGCTACAGCCTGCTGGGGGATACTGCTGTAAAGTGTAGCTTTGGCCAGTGGCAAGAATTCAAGTACGTCACCAACCTAGTTACACACACCCTTATTAAAGAGCAAAAAGTCACAACACTGGAACAATACACAAATAATCTGCACATACGAGGAAGAAACCTACAATAATATTTCAGTTTGACTTGGACCAAAACATCATGAGTTTCTTTCTCTTGTGTGTGTGTGATATTTGTGTATCTTTATTACTTTCATAATTTATGTTCAGTTATGTCTAAAATGATGTGTAATCAAATATGATACCATTCCAGGGACAAAGTTAATTAAGGATCATCAGGAATGAATTCAGTTTTTAGTATTTGTAGCATTCAGTAGCTCTCCCTATATAGGGCTCTTGATTCAAGGAATTGGGGGGTGCTTTTCCTTGGATTAAATCTGATTACCTCCCTTTGCTTATGCATTGAATGACCCCCATGGCTTATTACTTCTCCATGAGTATAAGAAAAAGTTGGAAAGATCAGCAAATAATAATTTTGCTTAATTAATGGGAGACAGGTTAATCATATTATTCTTGCCATTGTGAATGATGCATGGTGTTCATTTATATTATTATTATTATTATTATAATCAAAAAGAAGCGCTAAGCCACAAGGACTATACAGATGTGTTCATTTATAGTTTCTGCTGAATAGCCAGTCAGATGTATTTCCAGTCAAGAATGGTCATCACCCATGACACAGGTTGTTGAGATAATTTTGTTTATTTTATGGCAGTACAACATGTGACCCTGTCAACTGCTATGAGCCTGAGGTGCCGCCCTTTGGCAAGATCACTGCCAAGCACTTCAGCCTGGGCAGTGTGGCCAACTACACCTGCATGTATGGCTACATGTTGGTGGGCAACCCTTCTGTTGAATGTCTTGCTGATGGCACCTGGCGGGGTGAATTGCCAGTCTGCAAGCCTGTTGACTGTGGTCCTCCAGAGGTAAGATTTTGTTAGTGTCATTATTATTATTATAATCAAGGGGAAGCGCTAAACCCGGAGAATTATACAGCGCCTGGGGGAGGGGATGTGGAAGGCATTCAGGCTTAATTCGGGGAACTGGAGCACAGATCCAGTTTCCTAAATCAAGAGCCCCTCACCAACATCAAGGAACCTTCCTTGAGTGTTAGTGTCATATACCGTATTCACGTGGACTCTTATAAACTTGCAAGTGCCCCGTTTTATTAGTACAATAAGGGGGAAAGTGTCTGTACGGGGTGGGAAATTTAAACCCAAAAGGGAAATGGTAATCGGGGTTTGACCCCAATTTAAAGGGGATATTTTTATAGGAAATTTACAGGGGGAGTCGGGGATTGTCTTCAAAAGGTCATTAGCTTTTCCTTGTCCATCTCTTCTTAAAAGGGAAAAGGCTGGGGAAAAATAAATGATAGAAGGGTTTTTCCCTTTTGAGTTGCCCCCTTTGATGGGAAGGCACAAAAAAAATGAGTTTTTTACAGGGGGTAGTTTTAAAGTTATTTTTTTTTTTTTTATTATCACACCCGGCCCAATTCCCACCAAGGCGGGGGTGGCCCGAAAAAAAAAAAATTTTTAAAAACCCCAATCATTCACTCCATCACGGTTTCCCAAAAAGGGGGGTTTTAAACACTACAGTTTTTAAACTGCAACTTTTAAACCCCCCCTTCAAGGGCAGGCACTGTATTTTCCCATCTCCGGGGACTCAAGCCCGGCCTCCCGGTTTTCCCTAAACCCCCCTTCAAAAAATTTTACTTGCTCAAAAACTCCAAAAAGCACGTAAAGTTTTTAAAAACCTTTGTCCCCATTCACCCCTATAAACACGCTCACGCATGCCTGCGGGAAACCCCCAACCCCCTCGAACAAAAAAACCCCCTTTTAACCCCCCTTTCTCCAACCTTTCCTGTCCGCCCCCTCCCCCCCTTTCCCTTTCCCAACTACAGACTGATACCGCTTGAAGTCATTCTTTTTTCGCCCCTTCCTCTAAAATGTCCAAACCCCCCTCAAAAAACCCTTTTCCTCAGCCCTCTGGAAAACATTTTTTGGGTAATCCCGCCCTCCTCCAAATTTCCAAAAAAAAACAAAATTCTCTGCATTATATTCACCCCACACATTCCCCCCAGCCATAAACATCCCCAAACTGCCTCCAGCCTTCTCCTCGCTGAAAACATTCTCACCCTTACTTCACACCCTAAAAGAGGTTGGAAAAAACTTTTCTCTCAACATTCCCCCTTTGCCCCCAAGGACAAAGTTTTGTTTCCACAGACTCCTAAGGCACCACTCCCCTCTTTTCCCCTCTTCAATTCTATGTTTTTCACCTCTTCTTTCAAAGACCCATCCGCTGACACTTCACCCCCAAATTTTAAAAAAATTCCCTCCTCCATACTCTCTCCCCCCAATCAAATATTCAATCTTTAATCACCTAACTTTTTTTTCCTCATAACCTTACTCTTTCCTGTATTCCCCTTTTTTTTTCTTCTTTTGCTCACCCCCTCCAAATTCATCCCCCCAAATCTCTGCAATTTTCTCTTAAAGAATCCCCCAAAGAGCACAGTGCCCATCACAAAGAGCAGTGTGACAACTCCCACTTTGTGTGTAAATTCTTTATTTTTTAAACTCCACGCCTCTTCCCAAAAGACCCTCGCATTTACTTCTCTTAAAACCCCCCCTATAAATATATTAAAAAAACCCCACGGTGACATCACACATCCTTGTTTTTAAGGGGCCTACTTTTACTGGGAAAAAATTTTTCCCTCTTTCCTACTTTACTCTAATTTGGGACCCACACTATCCTCTTTAAAAAACTCTTCACTGCTTTCGAAAACCTTTCCCTCCTACACCAAAAAATTGCAACATCTGCCACATTCCCCCCCTATCCACCTGTCATAGGGCCTTTTTCCAAACCCATAAATGCCACAAAAAAACCTCTTTGGGCCTTACCCTAAATACTGTTCATTTATAGGGTTTAAAGGAAAAACACCTGGCCCAAAACACCCCCTCCCTTTTTCCTAAAGCCCCTTTTTCCCCCAATTGCTATCCTTTTCTCCGTCTTACTTTTAAAATTTTTTTCAATAATACTCTACCATACCAGGGGAAAAGTTATATGGAAAAACATTTAAAGAAAACCTAGGAAAAAAAAAGGGGCCAACCCCTTGGGAAATTTATATTCTTTGGAGGGGGCTACAGCCATGGGGGTTAACAGCTCTTAAAGGTTAAAAGGGGTCACACCCTCATAACCCCTTTCCAAACCAGGAAAACCTGGGGTTTGGCAGATCAACCGGGTTTAAATTGGGTGCTAGCTACATGAAACCCAAAATGAAATGCCCCCCAGAAACGGGTTGATCAGGAATTAAACTTGAGATCTTTTTTCGTTCTCTCGGGGACAGAAACCCGTTCCTCGGGAAAAAAAGTTAACGCACACAGAAACCCTTTGGGGGTTTAAAATGAAAAAGTGACACCCCTTAAACCCCCCAGGGGGTGGGAAAAATTTTTTTTTTATATGATTACGGCGGGGGCCCCACTTATAGGGCCCAGGTTAGGTTAAAGGTACCGCCGTAAAGTGGAAAAACCCTTTTTTTTTCCACTTACCAATGCATACAAACACTAGATAACAATTTTTACACTAAATATATTAAGTTAGCAATGGGAACCAGGCATCAAAAAAAAATTAAAAATTTCAATACACACATATTGCATTTCTTTTAATTCCCTTTAAAATATTTTTTAGTTTAATCTAGGGTGAGACAAGTGGGATTTTTTGGTAAGAAATAAAGTGGGGTATTTTGGGCCCAATCAGCCAGGCAAACCTTACCAGGCCCCCCCACCCAAAACATACTTTTCTATGATTTTTTAAGCTTTCCCCAAGCGTTTAAAATGATATACATTCACTCATTACTTCCCAAAAATTATGGGGCAAGATGAGTAGTATTTTTTTTTAAAAAATCAAGTGGGGAGGGAAAGGGGGCTGTAACGGGGGTACCATCCCGGGCCAACCCACCCCCCATATATTTTTTGATATTTAAGCATCCCAGACGAAAAAATGTATATCGGGTTTCACTCATTACTTACCTTTTAAAATTTTTTGTAGTCTTAATGTAGGGGCAGGACTAAATAAATGGATAAAAAAAGGGAAAAAATAAAAGAGAGAAAGAATGATTTCATGAGAGGGGGCAGGGCAGGTTATGTAAACAAACCAGGGGGGAACGTAAATTTTTTAAACAGTGTACACTTTTTGGTTTTTTTTACAAATTTTCATTTTGTAAGGTTGTCTCTACATTGGGTTTTCGGGGAATTAAAAAAGAGGAACACCCCCCTTCTCATGAAAAACCCCCATTTTGAGAAAATGAAGCTCTGAGTTTAAGGGAATGGAAATAAAATTTACACTGACTTTTTTGGGTTTTCCTTAAAAGGGTTTTACACATTGTTTTTGTATGATTTTTAAAAAAACTTTTTTAACTGTAATTTTTTGTATACCCGAATAAACTTAAAATCATACGAAAGGGAAAAATTTTTTTACAGTTAAACCCCCCGAAAAACATTTTCTTTATGTTAATTAAGAAAATGTTATTCTTGCCGCAATTTTACAAGTTATCTGGGCCCCACATCTTATAATTTTTGTTTATTTATTCTATTGTGGGGGGTTTTTAAATCTTTTTTTTGTTATGTATCGTGTTTTTTTTATATAATTTTGAAAAAATTTCATGGTTTGGGTTTTAAAGAAAAAGTGTAATTAACGTAATAAACGACATTTAATGAGACTCGGTGGTATTGTTTTTTTATTAATTAAACATTTCTAAAATGGTGTCCCCTTGTGCAAGTCGTCTGTACCACATCTCACTTTTTTGTTTATTTATTCTACTGTGGGGGGTTTTATCTTTTTTATAGTTTGCATTGTTTTAAATTTTATAAAATTTAAAAAAAAATTTTCATAGATGGATTAATGAAAAGTGTATATTAAATTTAAAATCGACATTTAATTTACTCGATGATTATTTCATTTCTAATTGACGTCCCGGAGACATAAGACACTTACCGATTTTAAAAGTGTACCTTTCATGCCAGCACAGTATGTAAAATTTTTTTAGGGGACAGGTATACATAAGTAAAATTTTTTCAGAGTATATATAAAATAAAAGAAATAACTTTTTTAAAACATTTGAAATTTTGGAGTTTTTAAGGGCAAAATGGGGGGCCCTTTGTGCTTTTTGAGCTCCCCGAAGAAAGTAAACAACAGGGTGGGGCGCGTTGACCCCTATTGAAAGTCGGTGGGGGAGCGTTTTTAGCGAGTTTTGGGCAAATTTGAAATGACCCTATTACCCGGGAAAGCCGTTTAAAATGAAACGCCGGGAAGCGGGGCCCCACTGTATGTGCCCAAAACCCAAGAAAAAAACAAAGTACAAAAGTTTTTGGGAAAAAAGACGGGGTAGCAGGGTAACAGGAGTAAAGTTTTTTTTTCCATTTCTGTACATTATATTGAATTTAAAAATTACTTTAAAAGGGGTTTTTCCTTGATGCCGGAGAAATTTTTAAATCAAAACTAAATGCTTTAAAAACACCCGGGGCGGGGGTGAGAATTTGTTTTTAAAAATGCTCGAGGGCGGAAAGAAAAAAAATGGGAAGGGGGGAAATCCGAATGGGGGAGTTGGGGGAGTGTTTAAAGGGGGAAATTTTTATTATTATTTTAATCAAAAAGAAGCGCTAAGCCACAAGGGCTAAACAGCGCTGGCAGGGGAGGAAGGAAGGAGGGTATCAGGTGGCAAAAGGGAGATGGATGATAATAGGTTACGGATAACAGCGGGGTTTGTGGTGGTGAAAGGGTAAAGGGCCGCAAGGGGACTAACTAAAAGGGCTGAGGGGAAATGCGAAAAGTACATCGAGTTTGTGGAGTAAAACGTCGTTTTTCAAGAAGTCATTTAGAGAGTCAGGGGGGTTAAAGGGGGTCCATTTAGCAAAAAGGGGAAGGGAAAGAA